GGAGAAGATAACCTTGAATAAGTCACTTATCCTGTCTAATTATTAGTTTACTTATTTCGAACATGATTACTGCTTTATCTCTTTGATAGTATTATGAGATTTAATTAATTGAAGTTTATAAAGCACTTGACATTGAAATATGCAAAACATAGTTTCCATAAATGTTTAACTTTATTTTCCAGATCCATTTTTAAGAAATCTCAGGCATGAGTTATTAAAAAAAAGAAAAGAAAAGAAAACACTTTAGTGAGAGGTATGCGAGCACCATGTGGAATACTATAAATATGCTTTATTGTTTCTACTAAAAAAAGCCAACCTAGAGGGCTTGACGGATAGTGAAGTGAAATGCTAGGCAGCACTTACATTAGAACAGATCTGTGAGGTCATTAAAAGATAGTTATTGGTTGTTACCGGAAGCACCAGTTTAATTACACAATTAAGTTTTACATAGTTTTCATCATGTCCAGGAAGCTGTACAATTCTAATTTACCGGGTCGTTTCGAGACATGGTTGTGCAGCCAGCTTTATTTTAGGGTAAAGCTCTCAGTTGTAACTGTATGGCTTGTGTTGATTACCCTTGAAATGTTCTATTTCCTCAAATGCACAACATTTCCACAAATGACCTAGGAGCTGAGTGGCCTCTGGTGGGACTCTCAGTCCTCGTGGGGACGTCTTTGGGCTTCTCCTTAGAGGAAGCTCCCAGGGCTGTCACGTGGGGCACATCACCATTTCAGAGCCTCATCTGAATTCATGTTAAAATTGAGCTTTTCCTTTAAATTGTTATTCCTGTGCTTAAACACTCTCTATAATCTGTCCTTAGCCATTGAAGGAAATTGTGGATTTGATAAATTCACAAATGACCTCCTCACGATTAAATTTTTTTGATACATTGTTACAAACTTTAAAAAGAAAGCTCTAACTGGTACTTATTTTGCTAATATTAGCGTTTTGTTTCTGCTGGGTTTGTTGCCACATTATATCAGCTCCATTAAGCCCGATGGTTATCCTTCTTTGTGTTCAAACTCAGATGCTCACAGCAAGTTTACGTGCATGTCCCTGTACCTTCCACATCTGTGGGGAGCTTCCCGCTTAGGCGTTCGTGCTTGTCCCCGAGTGAGTGTCACACTGCTGAGCTGACGAGTGCCCTCAGGCCCTGGGACACTGACCGCACGGGCTAAGCCGCCAGGGCTCCCCTGTCTCGGGCAGAGTGATGTGGGCTGGTCCGCCTGCCAAAGTGCCTGTGTGGGCACCTGCCCTGCGTTCACACAGGAGTCACTCAAGCTGCAGCCACGGCCACCCTGAGCCACCAGCTCCTGTGACGTATGAAATGAAAAGGAAAAAGGTGGCCTGAGAAGGCAGTTGACTTTCAGCCAAGCTTGACAGTAGAGGGAGGCAGTGAATGTGCTGAAAGTCACAGAAAATGTAATGCCGGAAGCATGAGGTCAGAAGGAGCCAGACACCTGAGGTGCCTGCATCGGTCCCCGTGTTCCAGCCATGACAGCTCTGCGGACAGTTTCCAGTTCACATTCCTGCAGGTCAGCATCCGACACGGGTCTCTCAGGGCTAAGCCGAGGTTGCTGGCAGAGCTGCCCCTCACTGAGGGCCCTGGGTGGACCCGCGTCCAGCTCTGGGGACCAGCCGCCACGCGCCTTGCTCCGCAGCCTCCTCCACCCTCAAGCCAGTAGCACCACCTGTCTGTCACCCTGTCCGTAATCATGTCTCTGACCAAGCGGGGAATGTCCTCAGTTTTTCAGGACTCGTGTAATTTGATTAGGACAGTCCTGGGCCATCTGCCCAGGGTCACCTTGACACTGGGTCGAGGTCCTTAATCACATGGGCAATGTCCCTTTTGCCACGTGAGGAAACGTGGTCCCGGTGCTGGGGTTGGGACAAGGACGCGTTGGGGGCCGTCCTCTTGCTACACAGAGGGATGCCCACCCCTGCTCATTGTACTGTCTGTGGGGTGAGAGGGTGCCGTCGGCGTGTGGGGCTCCGTCTCACTGCAGCCCGCCTGGATCTGCACAAGCTTGCCAGGTGAGCACAGGCGTAAGCGAGGTGAGGAGATGGTCAGGCTCACTTCTCATGAACAGGAAGCCACGATGGAGTTGCCGGCACAGCTCAGCAGGGACAGAAACCAGCAGCTGCAGGAAGAACGGGTACCTGCAGGAAAATTATTGTGTTAAAATATTCATTGCGGTTGGACCCTAATTGGGAATGTAAACCTGACTAGAAGACCAAAATATGTAGCAGGTGCATTCCAGTTTTAAGTATTCTAAACATTGCTCTGATTTGCATATTCAGGGTTTCATTATTCACAGGCACGGATTTGCAATGCAGACTATGGTTTAGCCCTTTATCTGTCTTCTGCAGGCATCCACGCGCACCCACACGCAGACGTGCACACGCAGATATGCACACACAGATGTGCACACACAGACGTGCAGACACAGACGTACACACACACGCACACACACCATGCAGGGTCATCACACACAGGAGCTGTGCGCACACGACAATAACAGCAGCTAGAGATGACTGAGCGCCCGCGGTGGGCACTCACCTCTCATTCCAGCCTCCCTGCGGGAGGAAGTTCATGGATCTTTAACAGGCGAGACAAGCAGGCACAGAAGCCAGGTGACCTTCCGAGGCCACACAGGCAGAGGATGTCACAGCCAGGCTTTTGGCCAGTCTCAGACTCCAGAACCGGGAGCTTGGCGTGGGCTTCTGTTCGCACGCCGGCTGCCAGGATCGCTGGCTTGGCACAGAGCGAGGCTTTGTAGAGTGAATCAGTAGATAAAATGGGGCGAGGAGATAAAAAGAGCAAAGCAAAGCCCTGCTGTCTCAGGAATCCCACGAGGAGCTGAGTGAGTAAGCCGGGTCAGGCGGTCGTTTATAATATAGTGTAAAAGGCCACGCAGCCTCTCACGGGGAAGGTCGGGCGGATCAAGGAAAGTCCTGGGAGGCAGCTCATCCGGACGGAGGGGACCCAGCGGGCGCGCCCGGTGGCCCCGCGTGGCAGCGGGACTGACAGGATGGGGACTGGAGCTACCGCGCTGGCAGTGCCACCTGGATAAAAGCAAAAGAAGCTGACGAAGAGAGTGACACGGTTTTAACGTTTCTTTCTGAGGAATATGCAGTTCATGGTGATCCCTCTTGGCCCATGGAGAGCCACATTCACTCTCTGCTCCTAATGTCTTGTCGGGTAGAAGCGAGGCCACACTGGCTACCCGGACGTGAGGTCCAGCCTCCCGGAGCCGCGGGGTCAGTTCCAAACCAGACGTGTGCGTGTCGGGCTCCTACGTCCTGCTCTAGGCAGCATTCCGCTAGGCACCATAGATCGTTCTAGAAAAGGGGTCATAGTGCTCTAGGCCTCAAATTTCTCAGCAGAAGACTCGACCTGACACATCTGGAGAACCACACAAGTGTGTAAATGACCAG